GTAGAATTATCCTTGTAGCACCAACTGATACTGAGATACACACCGACAACTGGATTGACAGGACTTGATGATGAAGATGAAGATGATGAAGATGAAAAAAGGTGGCTGAACAAAACGGCCGATTCGCCGATTTTTGAATTTTCGCTTAGACGAGGTCTAGAGCCACGCTAGTGGTACCATTGGAGTCCTCTGGTCAAGATAAGGTCCTCTATAAAGTCTGGTAAGCATAGGAGCTCGTTTTCCCGGTATAGCAAGGCTGCAAAAGTCGTGGCAGCCATTTTGTTTGGGGGTGAATCCTACTTAGTAACGCTACCGCGTTACTAATATGAGGAATCATCCTTGCTATAGCTACATGGAGATACAATCATGACAAGACACCAAGCCATGCTGCCACAAACACCCAATAAAATTAACACTGTAGTAAATACAAAGCTATCCACTTGTCACTTATCTATAGTGACTTACAACAAAGTATAGACCCTCTCAAAGTGTCCTAAGCAACTGGCCAGAGTACTCACACCTTTTGGGTAGAGAAGGGCGGAGTTTTAAATTAACCCTCATGAAACTGTGCCCAACTTTTTCAAACTATTGGAATTTTCTACTTCACAGATGATTCATTTTTAAAAATTTTTGCAGATTTATAATCAGGATAAAAAGTAGAACACATTGATATAAGTAAGTTTTTGTTTTGCTGAACTTCATTTTTCACGTTGCAGACCCTAAGTAAAGGAATTGGTAATTCCAAAGTGGGAACATTAAAGATCCAGTATGGGAAATCTAATTGTTCCAGTATGGTACTAGGTGTTTCCAGAGTTTGGGATAGGATGACTCGTTATGGGAAAGTTCATTTTCCATATTGTGGTTCAACTAAATTCCTTAGTGGGAATTACTGCAGGACAATGTATCCAAGTATGAATTTCATTCCAGGGTGGAATGTAAGCTGGAAAGAACTAATTTCCAACAATGGGATACGTGGTCTCCAGAATGGGAATTCATTGCCAGAGTATTAATTATTAGCATGGGTTTACACTGGAAATTTCAATATCCAGTATTGGAATTTATGATATTTTCCATTGTTGTAATATGTGACCATAATTGACAAAAGGTACCTTATGGCGGGTAGTGAAATTTGTCTTTCTAGCCTAAGAAATCCAACTTCCTGAGCCCCATTTATCATAAAATTACTCCACAGGATACAAAAAGTTACCATGAAACTTTTAGAAACAATGATTGTCTAACAAAGCACTCACAGGTTGATATTTGCCATTATTAAGATCAATTTTAAAATCCGCCATAAGGGCCCTTTTGTCAATTATGGTCACATATGTTCCACAATCCCAATGATGGAAATGTGCATGGGAATAACTAGATTCCCATGTATTTTCCCAATAATGATTCCAACATAGTTTTTCCTGTGTACACCAATGCAGTTGCATGTAAGGCATCAGATTATTGTGTCTATAACTGATTAATGCCCTAATGCAGCAAAGGTTTAGTGACTGATACTTTGGTGAAACTTGCAGACACTTACAATAATATAAATTATTGGTTAAACCAGATTAAGATTAAGAACTAGCTAGCTCTTGTATTCAGACTAATATTGTGAAATACCATAGTTACCATTTTTGTAAAAAATTTTCTATACATTAATTTCGAATAAGATTTTTTTGTCTCATTCTAAACGTTCTTGGCATCTCTCTTTGTCCTGCCAGCTATATCTATTAGCATCTTGTTAGCTGCCCTAACATTCATTGGTCCACAGAGCAAGACACTATCAATACTTCTTGTTTTTGGCTGCAGACTTACTTATTTGATCATCTATCAACACTCATGGCCAGTCAAGACGAAATAACAACTCTACCTCATTCGTTACATAAGAGAGGAGTGATACGTCGCTCAATTACATGCCTTCAAGGAACTGGATGATTTGAGTAATCTTCCCTCTACCACTGGTCAAGCTGAACAGATAGCGGCTAAACTTCATAAGCTCGATGCTGAGTTCAAAGATTTACATTT